TTACTAACCTAATGTGACTACCAAATCTAAGTTCAAAATTCCAAGAATTACGGGAGTTATAGAAAATTGGTAATAGGGGGGGAGTGGGGGGTTGGACCAGAAGAAATGAACAAACTCGTCCTTTCTCGGCCTCAGGAGAATCTGTATACCAAGTTTGGTTATTCTAGCTCTTATACTTTCGGAGATCCTTGCGTTCATACAGACAGACAGACGGACAGACAGACGGACAGACGGACAGACGGACATGGCTATATCGACTCGGCTTGTCATGCTGATCAAGAATATATATACTTTGTGGGGTCTACCAAGCCTCCTTCTGTGTGTTCCATGTGCACTCGCACAAAACTAATATACCCTTGTACCCTTTGGGTACAGGGTATAATGATTGATATACGTATATACGTTTTAATTCGGAAACCAATCCGAATGGTCAAGCTCTTTACATAGTATATCTTCAAAAAGCCTACCTATTTTCTATACTTAATCACAATCACCGGAATGTTTGATTTTTGCAAAAAGATTCGTAAATCACCCCTCTGCCGAGTACTCCATTTCATCCCCAATATTCCAGCATTATGGGCGCACCTATTTCCATTTAAGGGGCTGCACTCTGAATGCCCATTTATCATTGGAGTGACAGGGCCAACTTAACACCTGCTGCGTTCCCTGGCAACCTCATTCTAACCGAACGATTTCAATAGCAAATTCTAATTAAGGCAACGCAATACCCCGGCACTCTCCATGCCATTAAAACTACCAGAACTCTAAATCTCGAAAATTGTCAATGAGTGAGCGAGCTGAGGTCACAATTTTTGCTATGGTCTTAAGCCATTAGTTATGAACTCCTACCTTGTACTCGGAATGGACCAAACTGCCAGCGGCAGGTGTCGCAGCCGCAGTCAGTTTCGTTGTCGCCTTTTGGCGACACTGCAGCGCATAAAGTCGTTGTGTTGGGTGTAAAAATGATAAATTATCAAAAAATTTGCAAAGTTTCTGAAAATTACGCATTAAATCATGCAGAAAGCTGCGAGTGCGGCAGCGCTGACGGCAACGACGACGGGGGCAGCATATTCTAGAAGTGGTTGGGGGAGATAGCTGCCAGTGGAGGTTGTAGTCTGAGTGCAAAGTCATTGTAATTTTTGGAACAAAGTTCACAAGTAGGGTTCAAAGGGAGCCAGAGAGCGCTTGAGGGCGTCACCTTTATCGGTTTGTAGTTACACTAAACATTGTGAGCTGCATGCATGAGCAAGTTTTTCATTACATTTTATTTGTCATTTTCCACGCCCACTGCCAGCCCCGCGTCTACAGTGTGGGGGAAAAACGAACAGAACATACACGGAGGCAAACACACACACTTGGTCACGTTTTTTTTGGTGTGTGATGTCTTTGTTTGCAATTGCTCCATCATAAATTTAGTAAACAAACAACGACAAGGTAGTACGAGTAGTTGGTAGCCTCGTACCTCGTCTGGCCAGCATAAATTTGGTACGTTTTTATGCGCAGCTTTTCTTTATGATTACTAGCTTACTATACATAGTTGCCATAGTAGCAAGCATCGCATCTCTTTATTTTTCCTTTCCTTTGCTTTTTGTTTTGTTTTTTTTTTTTTTTTTTTTTTTTTTGATTGCACATATTTCATGGCTATGATTTAGTCGTCGTTGTTCAGGGCTGTTGACCAAATGGCAATGCCAGCATTCGGCAGTCAGTAGCAACAACAACAACAACTCAGGCGGAACAAGTGAGCCACTTGGCCTGCTTTACCTCAGTTGTACTCCCCGGTCCACAGAAAAACCTCCTCTTTGGCTCTCACCACTGTTTGTTTGGGTCCGTCTTGGGTCAACTATAGTTGAGACATGAACCTAATTTACTGGCTGAGTGCTTTTCATGCTGTGCACTGAATGTCTTATTTAGTTTTGTTTGTCTTTCGAGTTTGGAGCGTGTGTGTGCGAGCATGCTCGTATATTTGTTGGCTAAACACAAATACAAATACAAAATTTATGCGCGTGTTAACAGCAAAATTGAAGGTAGCTTAGTTTTGCTGAAGAAAAACTAGCCGACAAACTTTAAGCATTAGCAGCAACGTAAAGTTGAGTGTATTCCCAAAAAAGAGAAGCAGAAGAAAAAAACAAAATGAATTACGACCGCCTTTTGGCAATGCAACAGCAAATTGTGTGTGTGCGGCTAACGAGGTTGCCAGCTCCTTCTTCAGATTGTCCTTTTTGCTTGAAGCCATCGAAAACTAAACAAATTTTGTTTAGCTTACTAAACTTTTACCAATAGATGAATGAGTAAATTATGGGGCTTATCGTCTAATATTTTAATATAAATAAATGAAGGCACTGTTTAAAAGCATTTTTAGTCCAGAACCGTCAAGCTATAGTATATGTGTGCGGCTAATGACGTTCTGTTAACGAGGTTGCCAGCTTCTTCTGCAGATTGTCCTTTTTGCTGGAAGCCATGGAAAACTCCAAAAATATATGCTAATTTTAATAAACTATTGCCAATTGATGCATGGCTAATTTATGGGGAGTATTATCCAATATTTAAATATTTTTTAAATTAAAGGACTGTTTAAGAATATTATTAATCCAGAACTGTCAAGATATGCTATCATAAATGTCTCTTAATAGTCGACAACTTTTTGTAACCTCTACCTGCTAGATGTTACTTTCAGTCTAAGTATTCAGACTTTACAGTTAACAGTTTTGCTGCAATTAATACTTTCTTCTTATTATCAATACGTGTTTTACATAATTGTTTAACGTATATCTAAAGCTTTCACTTACATAAGTAGTTCGGCAAAGAAACACTCTTTCCAAAATTAATTCCATAAATTGCATGATTAACATATTATTTACCAAAGTATTGATTCTGATTGGTAATTTCAGCTTCTTATTTGCTTAAAATACATTTAATTACAGCATCAGTAAGAGTTTAATACAGAATTATTATAACAAACAAATTAAAAATGGATCCCAATCATTTTTATTTAACAAGAATTCTACAATGGACTCACGATTGTTGTCTTTTTAATATCTATGAATAATAATTCACAATCGGAAACTTGTTCAATACAATAAAATATTTAGAAGATGAAGATGAGAAATATCTTCCCACATATTACCGCCATGTAGTTCATTAGCTTTGCAACTTCAAGTTTCTTTTAATCTGGCAATCCTTGCCTATCAAGTTGGTTGGCAACACTAGCCACAAAACTGTTCTCGTTTATAGTATGTGTACCAGATAGTCCGTGGCGCCAAAAGTTTTGCCACTTATGGTCAGGTTAACAAGCTTAACTGTCGTTTTATGGGCGTGCGAGAGCCCGCGCGTATACAGGAAAAGTTTTTATAACCAACGCATCGTTTGGTTACTCCATTGCCCTCTTTGCCTTACTCGGCGCTTCCTGTCTCCTGGCCTCTTATGCAAATACATACTCGCATATATATATACAAGAAGCTTGTGTGTATGTGCGGGTATTTTTAATTGTTTAACGTCTCGTATTACGTATCTCGTTTAATTGCTGACAACTTGGCGCTTATGAGAGTGTTTAACTGCCGATATGCCAGTTAAGCTTGACAACAACCAACGCCTAATTGCCAGCCAGTCAAATTGGTAATTGGTTTTTCTTGCCTACGACACATGTTTAAGTATGTCCGCCCTCCTCTCCTAAAGCCCTCCATCTCGATCTGTAAATGCATACAATTTTCCCTTTTTATCTGCAGCAAGTTGATTGTGTATGTGTACTCGTATGTGTTTGTATGTAAAGCCACTTGATGTAGCATTCGAGTTGAGTGCCGAGCGATGACGAAGACGCCTACGACTACGACGACGTACGCAACTTAAGCGCTGCAAGCACTTGATATCCTTTGCATGTATCACAGCTCTACATAGAGGCAAGCTATCAACCACTGCCCCGCAGTTCGAGAATCCAGGTTCACGTTATCACTTCTCAGTACGAACGAGTTACACCCATACCGGAACAGTGTGTAAATTTGTATTTAATAGAGTCGGCTTAACCTTTTCGATGGCGCAAATTTATTTGTTATGCTGACAGAACCTTCCTTTCCAGAGACCCTTGATTTTATGTTATTATTTAAACATTAAGTAGGTTGATGGATTTGAGCCTGTAACGTTTTGTTTATTAGACGGACGCATTGTCACTAGTCATCTAGCTATTTAGTACTTCAGTGGTTGATGCTTTCGTACATACTAGCTCCGCAATATGCCTTTGAGATACACCGACCACCATCCGAACTGCAGGGTTCTTACCCACAATCCCACCCACACATAAAGGCACATGAACGCATATTTACATCGAGACCCTCACACCGGGCACGTTTTTAATGAAGGCTCATCAACAATGTCGGCTTCCCCCTTTCCTGCTGCTTATCATCTACCACTTGAGCTCTGCCGTCAGGTAGTCGAGCTTAGAGCTTAGACTACCGACCATATACCAATTACTTAGTCATTGTAGCTATTACACAACTGCCTTCCTTGACACAGTCTGCCGAATAGATACATTTGCGAGCATTTATGTGTGTTCTTAGATGTGTGTATGTGTGTGTGTTAATTACCAAGCTGTGGCCCAGCTTCCCATTTAATAGCTCTTCTATGCACTGGCAAAAAATATTTTCAAGAATTCTAAAAGAAAAATAAACAAAGTGGTGCTGCCTAGGAACTAGTAGAATCTAGATACAGCCTTTGGTCCATGTGGATTTAGCCGTTTCTGAAATTCAGGCGGACAGACGGACGGACATCGATTTGTCTCGTCATACTTGTTAAGGTGGATGAGATGCTTTATCTGTCTGTCTGTTACATGCTTTGCACAAACCAAAAATGTTACCTGTTTACGTTTCAGGTAGATACTATATACTTGTACTTTCTATTTAGCTGATAAATGCTATCCATAAAAACATTTGCTAGTCAAGCAAGAACTTGATTCTATTTTTTTAAGTGCAGCATAACCCTCCCTTGAGGCGCATCATAAATTTACTACCGGCTTATTGTAGACAAAGGGCTATCGAAAAATTTATTGAGCAAGCCAAATTAGATTATCTATAATTATCTAACCATCACCTCCACCGTTTACCCATAACACGTGTGGCGCCCGTGGCACGGTTGGCACTGCCCGTGGCACTGGTGGTCTCACTGCCAAAATGCAGGAGTGACTGCCGCAGCTTCGACGGGGGAATCGGTGGCGGCGACTCTCCCGGTCGGAGCTGATAGCAACACAATTTATGATTCTCTATATACCAGTTGTAGCAACTGTTGTGTCGCCAGAAATCCTGGGTGGCATGCTTGTCTATTTGAGTGCTAGGTGCAGGAATGCACATGACTTGGATCCGATCACGACCCAAATGAGAGATGGACTGGTCCGGAAGCAGTTCCACCTTGATCTTAGTCGATGCGCGTGGCGCCAGTGTGCCATGGCGGGGACTCATACGGAACTTGCAATGCACAGTGCTTTGAACCTGCGTATCAGAAAGTATTCCGTCACCTAAGTAGTTGAGGACCGACACACTTACCCTAAAAGTCACCGCCTTGGGATCCACATTTGTAATAGTTAGGAACGCGCATCGTACGCCTTCATTGAAGATCAATTGTTCAGATGGTTCTACACGTAACATTTTGAATGTGGAGGATAGTTGTGATTATGAGCAGAATTTAAACGGAAACAGGGATGGGAATGTAATTATATTTTTTTTTTTGATTTTTCGTACATAAAACAAAATAACAATCAAATTTAAACTTTCAATATACAAATTTCAAAATTATCAATGGTAACTGTTTTAAAATAAAGTGTAAAATATCATAAAATATCATCATAGCCTATTTTGGGCAATTTCTTCAATAAAATTGTTGGAAAACTGTCTGATTCATACTTGCTTGTATATTTCCATTAATCATCAGACCATATAAATTGTGACATCATTTCCGTCTTCTGTACAATTTTCCCGCTTACTCCACTCATTCAAAATGATTTTACACATCATTCAACTGGCAACAATTGACCCACATTTGTATGTCCGACAGACCACCCCAAGTGCTTCGCATTAATTACCCATATATCCAAAGCCTATGCTCAACTAAGTACTGTGGCAATTGGTATTTAGTTCCTTGAACAGCAAACGATAAAAAAGAACACGCAAGGACACAGTTCCCACATTGCTGGGGCTTCGCCACTTTAACCCTCCTCGACGAGTGGCACAATGCGTACTTTTGTTGCGAGCCAGTCGAGCGTTTTGGCTTAGCCACGCTTAACTAAATGCCCAACAGCAGGTGTATGCAACAGCAACAGAAAAAGCAGAAAAGCAGCAGCAGCAGCAGGAAAACAAGCTGCAAAATTAATTGATTTACAAGTGTGAAAAGCGTCGAGTGCCATAAGCATAACAACACTACAATACATAGTGCCCCCCTACCTACATATACTTACAGTAAAACCTTTTCAGTGAAAACTTGGCGCACATGCATTGGCAGCCTTAGTCCCAGCTCAGCTTATGGAAACAAAATAAAAAAAATATTTTTTAAAAAAATTGTCAAACATTGTTCAATAGATCTATACATTAGATGTGAACTTTTCCTTGCGATTTCCGAATATGAATTAACAGTGCAATTAACTCCCTAAATAGGTTTGCTCACCGAAAAGTATAATTTATTTTTGGAGTTATTAACACTAGACGGCCCTAAAATAAATAATAAATAAATTTCTTGCTTGGAATAAATGACCAGCTTTGGGGCTAATGGGCATAACTATGTTATGGTTCAAAGAAATAAAATTCAATTAAAATTTTATTTACTTTTCATTGCTTAAACACAAATTCCGTGTAAATTATTTGGAATATAAATAATGTCCTTATATTAATGCGACTCTCTCAAAGTCTGGACCAAACTTATGATAAATGGTGGCCATGGCTATCAGATGTCAAAGGTCATCTAAGGCTTTTCAACTTACGCAAGTTGCACTTTAGTTACATACCTATGTAAGTATGTAACTTATATATATATATATTGTGTGACCTCGCAATGAGCGTAAAGAATGCGCAGCAAAAATGTGCTTAGCTTCAGTTTAATGTGTATATATGCGAGCCATTGTGTGCATATATATATATATATATATATATATATATATATATATATATATATATGTGTGTGTGTGTGGAAATACAATCCGCTTAGCAGTAATTGTCGCTGCAGGTGTGTGAAAAGCGCACGCCCACAAACAGCAGCAACAACAAGAGCGAGGTCGACACTCATACGCCGTGTGGTCAAACACAAATTCACCCTCAAGTGTTAGCCGTGCTTGTGTCGCGTGCTTCTGAAGCGCCTCGAGCGCACTTTATGACATTTTGTGGCCGTCCAAATACATACCTTCAACCCCGAATCACCCCACAAACTGAACTATATGGAAACTATAACCATAAGTTGCGTGTAATTCGTCGGCAAACGCGTGCGCTGATTTGTTAGTTCACTTTGCCTGCCAACCTACAGGCATACAAGTACATACATACTCATACATACATACTCATACTTATAAATGAACGTAAAGCTCATTTATTTTTCATAAGTTTGATGCGCTTGCATGCTAGCGGAAGTGAGCTTTTGTTTTTAGCCGTTAGTTCCTTCCGCTGCCCCACTAAGTTTGTTTGTTTGTTTGTTCCTTATATGGCCATATTTAATAAGCAGGCCATAAACAATGCGGGACTTGCGTGTTTAAGCTCAAACACTGTATAGTGTTTGTATACTTATTGACAGAGCCAGTTGTCAGACCTTATTGTTTCAATTAAATTTCAATTTATAACAATAGTGCTGGAGACTGCCGCCATGGGACTTTTAATATATGTACTAATAGATATTACCAGAAGCATGATTAATTGCCACACTCTCCAACCCAAGCGATTCATTTAGTTTGAAAAAACAAAAAAATTGATTAATGGGAAGCCATTATATTTCCCACACAGATTCTTATTTTATGCATCTTAAATCGTACTTAATTTAAACTTTTATTTAAAATTTATGTTAAATAAAAAAATGCAAAGTAATATATTTTTCAAATATTAGACTTTTGCTTGAAATGAGAAAAAAACAAAAAAGAAATGTTTAAATAATTAAACAAACTAATAAACTAATTAATAATAAAGGCTTTTAAAATCATAACTCAAGAACATTTGATTTTTTTTGTTTTTTTTTTTGACATGATTCCAATTGCATTTTATATTATTCTCATATCCCTTACTCTCTCATACAATGTTTGAGCTTGAAAACAGACTTCGAAAAATGGCAAACTACTTTTTAATTGATCGATAGATTTTTCGAACATTGTGCAATTACTTATGTTATCTACTGTACCTTATGTGAGGCTTATCCTATTATTGCCCCCGTAACTGTCAGGTGTGTATTTATATCGATTGTTAACGCCCCCGATGACTGTTAGATTTATTGCGCACTAGCGTGGGCGTCTGTTGCAGTTCAAACAAAACGTTGATTGCACTTAATGCGATCGAATCAATCAAACGTTGCAAAGAGTCGGACCTTGCCGTGATTTGTGTCAACGCTGGGTGGTGGTCATTATATTGCAACTAACGATAACTTTTCTTTTTTTAAGTCAGTCTGATACCGCTCCAGTGGGTCGTGTCTTCGTCGTCGTCGTTGTCGTCGTGGTTGTTGCTGTTGTCATCGTTTATTTTTGCAACGTTTTGTTGCAACAACTTTGGCCCTTCTCTCTTGCGTAAAAGGGGAAACAGAAATAAAGTAAAGCCATGCCGAATGCTGTTCAATTGAAGTCGTCGCTCAGCTTGTCGAACATTTTGCAGTTTGGCTTTTCCATCTGAATGGATATTTGCTGTATGTATGTATATATATGTGTGTGTGTCTGTATAGTATGTGCGTGTGTGTGGGTAATTTGAGTGGCGCGTAGTCAAGTGAAGTTGCCGTTGCCGTTACCAGTGCCGTGACAACTCATGTCTGCAGCGTCTTATAGTATACAGTGCACAAAATTGATTTTAATAATGATTATTAAACAATTGTTAAGTTCCAAAAATTTTCATCTATAAATAATTTTAGATTTCAGTTTCAGGTGTAATGATTTGGAATTAGAACTACTCCTTATAACAAGCAAAAATCACACAAAAGAGAAAAAATCATTTAAGATGCAATGGAATTGAATAAATTATTAGTCCTAGTATTTACAGTCTTAGTATAAGATGCAATGGAATTGAATAAATTATTAGTCTTAGTATTTACAGCACGTTTCCAATGCTAATTGCAATTTAAAACCATATACACGTAAGCATTAATAACCGAAATCGACTAAGAATAATTTCTCATTCAGAACTACAGATGCACAGTAGGTACGCGATTATATCCTTCGACTACTCTTGATTCGATTACAACTACATGAAGAACACATTCCTCAAACTCACTTTGGCATTCTTGAAGCTTACAAATTAAAAAGGCCACTCTGTAGGACTTCATATTTAATTTACATTGTTTTTAATAGTCATTGGAGAGCTATTTATATAATACTTTTAATACATTTTGGAAATCAAAAGACAACAAAAGTAACCGCTCTTTTCTCCGCGTGTATGCATATGTGTGTGTTTGGTGTTGTTGCACATTTGTAATGTGATATTTTGAGCTTCATTGGCTGCATACAAACGCCGAATATGACCAACAACTGTAATGTGTTGTATGTGCCAAAGCTAAAGCGGTTCCAAAACTAGTGGTTTTCTCTCTCCCCTCTACCTCCCCAGCCCCCTCCATCCAATGCATTCACTTGACGCAAACTTTCAATCCTTTTGGTATTGATGTCTCTTTGATTGTGCTCTGTGGCACGCAATTCCCATTGAGCAATTTAATATAGTAGTAGTTGAAAGAGCGCGGGGCATCATCAGGAAAGGCTACAGCAATAGCAACAACAAGAGGAAGAGCAGCAAGTCGGGCCGAGCTGTCAAATTATGCGTATAAATAATGCGACTGTCAGCACCCAAAAAAGATTTATGATGCCAACATCAAAACAACATTTGCAAATATGCAAAATAAACGTACAAGCCGTCGTACAGGCCAAAAATTATTATTATATTTATAAGTGGCATGAATCAGGCCAAAAGCACGACACACCACACCATACCATACCACCTCTTCATGTACGGCCCATAGGTTTTCACTTTAAAGATTTCCATTTGCTGCCGCCAAGCGCTGCTCGCATCATTTCAGCTGCTGAAAAGTGGCATAGAGAGAAAAATCGCATCGAATTCTTCAATTTCTTTTATTTTATTTTCTTCTCCGTCCATAGCCCTTTCTGCCATGTTCACGCTTTCATGGCTCTGTCACTTGTTAGCCCATTTGTTGTTTGATTATTATAGTCAAAAAAGCAAAGCGCAGCGGAGCAAAAAATAAAATAAAACAAACTTTTCTGATGTTGTGTAATTGACAGGCCTTTAAAACACGCGCAAATAATTTGTGTGTGGCATTTATTTTTTTCTTTCCCTATTTCTTCTTTTTCCTCCTCCCTTTGTGTCAACGCATTTTTTTCTTTCGGCTGCCATATTTTTTAATGGCCATGTCATTTGCATAGCTAAACATTTGTTCTTGTAAATGAAACAAATAAATGGCGTTGGTCTGAGTTGAGTATTTTTCTATACTTATTTATTATTTGCACATCTTTTTGACATTATTTTCATTTCTTACGTGACGCTTTGTTTATTGACAAGACAATGCAAATTTTTTTTATGTATACGAGTATGTGTTAACTATGCGGGTATTGTCTGTACTG